TTTTTTTTCACTGAGAAGTTTTTAAAAGAATTTTTTAAAGTCTGTTGTGTAAATTTTAACACAAAAAAAACTAGTAAAAAACTTATTTTTTCAAAAACAAATCGAGGCACTAAAAGTCATCAATTTTTGTATATTCTACTTTCGGTGGTTTTTTAGTCGCAAAATCAGAAACTTTCAGTTTTCCGGTATGCTGAAATTTTTTAAATTTCTAATTCAAGCAACTTTGAGAAAGCTGTAACACGATACAACAAATGCTTGGGTAAGTTTTAAGTTGAAATTATTATTGCAGTAAAAGTGTTTTGCTCTATTTTAGTCTGAATTTTTTCCAATATTGCCCCATCATAACAAAATCTAGACTCTATCACTTTAAAATTATGCGTGGGTCAGAAAGTTTTTAACGTGAGAAACAGAAAGTTCTGTGCTCCAAAGGAAAAAAATCAATATTGTTCCGACTTTTGTAGCAAAAGTATTGAAATATTTGTGCTCGGGTTGATTTTTTCTTCAGACAAATTTGGATTTTTAACTAGCCATTTTTGACAAAATCTTAAAATATCATTCAAAAATTATTGTTGTCTTGAGCTCAGATTTGAAAAGATTTTTCACCTCTGATTCTTTTTATTTAAGTTACGGGGGTTCAAAAGTTGCCATTTTGGCCAATTTTGGACAATTAACGCGCGATTTATTTCGCGCTATTAACGCGTAAGCGGAGATTTAATACGTCTTAGAAACTGTTTTAAAATGGTTGAAGGAAGCGTTTTGTCATAATTTATTTGTAATTAGAAGCAAAATCTATTACTTTGTACTTTATTGAGCGTGTGTGTGATAATTTTCACAAACTAAAAATTAAAAAAAAATTGGATCTTGTTAACTATTTCTCCCCCTATTTCGATTTTCAGAATTTCAATTTTGGCGGCCAAATTTTCAATAGTTTAAAACAATTTTCAGAAAATAAATATATTTAAAATTTTGTAGCTAAATAGTGAGCAACACAAATACGAACTCGTAAAAATGAAAACCCACTTAATTGTTGACGTTTTTGAAATGCATTTTTTATATAGAAATGGTAGGCAAAAATACATGGATAGGAGGGAAATGGTTAACAAGGTGCAATAGGGGGGAAATAATTAAAAAGATCCAAGAAATTTATTTCAATTTATTTCATGATTTTTTTTTGTTATTTTCGCTCCATAGTTTTTAAACGGCCATCAAAACGTTCAGGGCTTCTCCCTGATACAAGCACTTTTGTTCCATTTTGTTGTCTGAGCGCAACATGGGGTTCTACTATATTGATATTATTTTAGACCACAGCTCTTTTTCCTCCTCCCCCCACCGCTCACGTATTCAATATATAGTCTAACGAGTGCTTTTACGAGGTCAAGTATGAACACCAAATATGTTTGCCGTGGCCTTTTTAGTATGTATGGAAATTTTATACTAATTGGACAATGTCGTCAACAAATTTATATGTAAGAATTTGCAGGTGGGGGAAAGGGAAAAAGAGCCTAGACCACAAAAACCCAATATAATTAATTTTTTTTCTTAGACGCGCGATGTTTTTTAGGTTCATAATAAAATTCAACGCCTAAGTGAGAATAATTGCAGCGCTTAATTAGCCATTCTAATTTCAACCGAGGCAATTGAATTGGTTTCATCCTTAAGACAAAAATTATTGATCCGACTTTCAAAGTAAGAGACGGAATATTTGCGCTCGGATTGGTTTTTGCTTATCTAGACGGCTTTGGACTTTTTAACCACCCATTTTTGACTCCCAATTGCTAACTTGATCTATTTGGAATAATTAACGCGAAGTATGTTTTGTGCTACTAACGCGTAAGTGGAGATTTTATCCGTCTTAGGAATCAAGACATTTCTTAGAAATCAAGCCAAATTGAAATGAGGCATGCTATTTAATCTATTTAACTTAGCTATATGATATATAAAACATTATACGCAAAAAATTTAGGTTTTTTGCTAAACCTTCTTTGAATGGGATGAAAACGAAAAAAAATGAATGGGATGAAAATCTTTGAATGGGATGAAAATGAAAAAAAAATTGAATTTTTTTTTGAAAGTCTCATCACTTTTTTCTGAAGCAAACACTACTCCATAGACCTTACAGGGCGATCGGAGTTTTCAAGGCAGTCTTGTTTCAAGTAGTATTCGATACTTCTTGTGGGAAACTCCAAGAATTATGTTTTTTCCTCCGAATGTTTTTTCCTCCGAAGAGGACGCCCTCCTCAGCGATTCGACCCTCAGCCGACCCAAAGGTTCCCCCCTTTGGTATTTTTTAAGAAATCCAATTTTGGCCGACCGACCCTAAAATTTTTCTAAAGTCGCCAAAACAGCGTCTTTTTAGTGCTTTAGGTGAGCTTGGAAAATCAACTTTGTCGACTTAAAAAATTATGTCAAAATCCGCAAACCAACCCCCCCCCCCCGGAGAAAATCCTATATCCGCCCCTGTTCCAAATAACAGAAATATTGATAAGACATAACAAAGAGTTGGAATATTCAGATCTTTGTCCTAGTACGACAAGTATCGGTTTACCTGTATAATGGGAACAACCCGAGGAGTAAGAAGAAACGACTGATAATTTTGAGGTGCGCATTCTGCGATGACACCTTTATTCTTAGAACAAAAACACTCGTTCTTCTCCTGTCCAAAATTGGCAACCGAAAAGTGTCTTCCTGCGCAAAACAGCATGCAGTCTTTTGGGTCTAGAAGTAGAATAGGTTCGTTCAAAGCACTTGTTACTTCGGAATCTCGTTGGATGCAACCGAGTAAAATAACTGATTTAAACGCTAACCTAAGAAAATCAGAATTTGAATATTCATTTGGAATATCGGGGACAAGAGATGAGTTCATATTATGGTTTGAACTTGAAATAGAGGAAAGTTCATTCTGTACACTTGGACTTGGCTGGGGTAATTTCGAACTTGCAAAAAAACTGACACCATGCGATGTGATAGAATAATGAATCAAACAAAAGATAAAAGCAGCAAAGGCTAGCCAAAGCCTCAAACTTTTGATTTTTCGGCTGTTTTCCGGAATCAAAAGATGCATAATAATTGTAATGATTGAAGCGAGAATTTAAAATTGAGGCGCAAACTTATCGTGGTTGTTGTCTGAAAAAAAAGACGACAGCTGTTGAAAGACAAATTCTTTAGGGGCATCAAGAGGAAGTTTTGCTCCAATTACATAATAATTGAATTTTAAGAGATTCTAATGAGCTTGGCAAGGGTTCGGAAAGAAAAAACTCTGGAATCTGCAAATTTTGTTTTTATTCAAAAAAAACTTAATTTGATCTGAATGCAATTATATTCTTTCACATGAAATTTTTTTGAAAGTTTTTTAGCAATTTTTTTATGAATTTTTAAAATAATTTTTTTTCATCGAAGTTATAAATACAACTTTCCTGGAATTTCACCATTTCAATATCTGGTCATTTTTATACTTGTAAAACAACGAAAAAAATTGTCCTCGAAATGTCTTGTCTTCCTGTCGCGGCATAGACCTAGCACGGCTCGGTTGTACGTTTGGAAAGCTGTGAGAAGCAATTTTAAGTCAAGCACGTAGCTATCAAGTGAAACGATGGCGTAGCGATAACCATGTGCGCCTATTAGCATGCAAAACATCCTTTAATCAAGCGCTCTTTTAGACAAATATTCAATTGAGTTTTTGAATTCTCTCGATTTGAGAGAAGGTGAAATTATAGTTTCTACCGATTAAGAATTACGTGAAATGCAGTTTACCAAATTGGTGTCACCAAAAGTTAACCGTTGTTCTTCATGAAAAAATATCGAAAGTCGACAAAAAATATGGAATTATATCCAAGAAAAAATCAAAAATTTCTATGAAGCTAGTGCGGTTGGAACAGTGAGTAAGTCACTCCTTTTTTGTTCCGACTTTCGATACGAAAGTAACGGAAAAATTGTGCTCGGGGTGGGTTTTTTTTCTTCAGACAAATTTCGACTTTTTAACTAGCCATTTTTGACGGAATTTCTTATATCATTCAAAAGGTATTGTTGTCCTGAGCTTAAATTTGAGAAGATATTTCACCTGTGATCATTTTTCGTGAAGTTATGAAGGTTTGAAGATTACCATTTTGGCTAATTTGGGACAATTAACGCGCGATATAATTCTGCTATTAACGCGTAAGCGGAGATTTAATGCGTCTTATAAATCGTTCCAAATTGGTTCAAGTAAGCTTATTTGCCATATTTGATTTGTCGCCTATCACTTTGTAGTTTCTATGGCGTGTGGGGGGATGAATTTCATAAAAAGTTTCAATTAAAAAAAACCATTTTCATTTATTGCATTTAATTTTTTCATGTTATATCTGCTCCATAGACCTCAAGAGGCAGTCGGAACACTCAGGGCCTAGCCCTGATACGAGCATTTTTGTTTACATTGGCATGCTAATCGACACACATGCTAGTTTGCTAGGCCTATCCCTAAGTCGAAAATTGTCTTTGGATATTACCACTGCCTTCCAGAAAGGAAACAATTCTGCTACAAGAAAAGCAAGATTTTGAAAGGTTAATTCTACAGAGCAGCTGTTATTTTCGTTTTGAAAACAAAAGAGGATACAACTAGCATAATAAAAATAATAGTTGAAACCATAAACCTGACAGTAAACGATTCTTTTTACTCTCATAAAAAACAATCACTGTTGCATAAGAAAAGATGATCGTGCAGGTTATTTATCTCTAAATCAATCAATAAAAAATCATCTGGTATGTTGGCTGCAAACTCAAAAATACTGAGTCAGTAATTCAAAAATATGGTTTTCTCTAAACATGATTTCGCCCTAGCCGATGCAGATATTAAAATTGGTCCAAAAAGTTGTTACACAGCTCAGTGATAGAGCGAATTTACAAAGATATTAATATTTTTATTTTCAAAAAAAACTTGCCGTGCAAATCCTTAAAGAAAGGTCATGTCTATTTAAAGAGAACCGCTTCACTTGTGTTTATTTCACTGTCTCATAACAAGAAAATGTTTATTATTTAAATCCAAACAAAACTGCTCGTATCAGGGCGAAGCCCTGAATGTTCTGACTGCCTTTCAAGGTTTATGGAGCAGTAATAACATTGAAAAATTTTTTTCAATAAAACAAAATGCAAAAATTTTTTTTCTGAAATTTGAAACTTTTTCTGAAAATCATCCACCCACACGCTATATAAAAAAACAAAAGGATTTCGCTCCTTGTAACAAATCACTTATGGCAAATAAGCTTCTTTCAACCAATTTGGAACAATACGTTTATAGCGCGAAATATATCGCGCGTTAATTGTCTCAAATTGGCCAAAATGGCAGTCTTTACACCCCCATAGCCTTAAGAAAAATGATCACAGGTGAAATACTCTTTCAAATTTAAATTTAAGGCAACAATACCTTTTCGTCAAAAATGGCTAGTTAAAAAGTCGAAATTTGTCTGAAGAAAAAAACTCACCCGAGCACAAATATTCCGTTACTTTCGTATGGAAAGTCGGAACAAAAAATGACTCAAATATGGAAACTGAAACTTTTTAGCCACATCTAAATTTAGGCTTGACCATTTTATTATATCGGATTCTTTTACAAAAAAGTGAAAAAATGGCGAGAACTGGCCGAAATTAGTTGTTCATCGGATTTTAAAAATATGCTATTATAAGTTGATTGTATTTTTCTGATTGCTTGCTACGGTATAGTTTGTTTGTGATTTTAATAACTTGATTAAAAAAACCAACTAAATTTTTTGATAACCTAAAGAAAAACACTTAAAAAGATATTTTTCAATTCCGCTGAAGTTCAGTTTCATTGAATGGATAAAATTAAACTTATCTAACGACTATAAATTTAATTCACTTTGAATTAAAATCCTTTAAGAATTGTTGGATGTTTTCTACTTTCATACCCTTCGCCACTTCGCAGTCAATTTTCCAGTTTGAAAAGTAATCTCAACGTTGTGATGGTACAATAACATTACTTTTGCTTGTGCAAAATTAAAATTGAGAAAAAAAGCAAAAAAATATTGCACAGTTAGACGCAAGTCACTCTATGGTTTTTTTTGCAGTTGGTGAATTTTAACAAACATATTGCGTAGATTTTTACAAACTCAATTGTGCATCTTTTTTGTATTCAAATCTTTTAAATCAATTTCAAAAAACCTTTCATGGAGCTAAACCTATTAATTGTACAATAACGACTGATAAAAATAACACTTGTCGTTTCCCTTAAATCAGCTGTAAATTCAATGATATCTTAAAAAAATTATTAAATATAAAAAAATACAAAAATTAGTTAGTATAAATCATAAACTGTTAGTATTATAATTCATCAAATCATCCCAGCTTCATCACCTAAAACATAACTGCAAATTTCAAAACTAACAATCATCAAAACTAACACCTAACCTTAACGCTCCAATTTAAAACTATTAAAGCTTATCCTTACTTTCACTTAAATTAATTTTATTTAAATAACAGATCATCAAGGCTTCCTTTGGATCTTTAAATTAAATTATACCTTAATTTTTAAAATTTTAAATATTTCAATCCCTGATCATCAAGGCCTACCCTTGGATCAAATAGAACAATTTTGTTCTATACCTCTACATTTAATTAGTGTCTTACGTCCTCAAACGTCGACGATTCACTACCCAACCCTCATCAAAGACCCAGAATTAACAGAATTTTGCTAAACAGTGAAGAACTTCGGTTACTCATCCTTCGCTTGATCCTACTCCTCTTAGATGACCCAGGCTAAAAAACTTAAACTTAGTAAGTCATAAAACAGTATCTAGCGAACTACTTGCGCTTGTGAATCGGTTTACTATTCTCCAACCCTTGATCATAAATCTCAACCTCTAAGAAAGATTACGTAGGTCAAATCTTAAGCTTAGAATTAGTCACCCAGAAAGTACAAATCATTCTCCGGAATCAATATACGCTTTTCTCTCCAACCAAAATATACGATTCAAGTTAAGCTAACCATAAAAAATTGGAAGAAATTTAAGGCATTAGAATCCCTAATCCAGGTTGTGCATCCATCAACCTAATCCTTATGTCAAGAGACAATTTAGGAAACAAACAAACAATCATAATACACAATTGTTTAATTAATGACAAAAAATACGACCTCGCAATGACACCACACGGAAAATCAGTAGGATACATAAAAACAAAAAAAACAAACACTAAGAAAAAAGATAATTACAAAAACAAATTATTAGGAAAAGATTTTCAAAACGAAGAAACGCAGTCTCAGAATCAGAAACAACCGCAACACACGAACTCCATAATTTAAAAGATTCAATCAACAAAAATCACCAAATAGGCAGTCAACTAAATTTCACAGATTCAGAAACCACATCACCAGCATCAATAAGGGGCAAACGGAAAAAAATTGTCACACAAACAAACCAATACGTTTGTACAATTAAAATTAACCTAAAAGACACATTGAAAACTACACATTAACACTAATACAACACAAAAGTGATTCAACTTGAAGATAAACCAGAAAGTTCAATACTCCCATTTTTAATATCACCATTATCTGAACCTCGTGGACAAAAAGAGTTTTGTAAAAATTAATTGCAAACTTATTCGAAAAAGGAGAAAGTCCGTGCACAAAAAAATTTCCCGATGTAAAAATGAAAAGACAACTTCTCGATCCCTATATCAAAGGTATATGTAGTCTCACATCATACTATGGAATCTACACCATAAAAATCAGATCACTAAATACATTTTATGACAAATATCTCATTCAAACTGACGATGTCGATCTAGAATTTTCAAAAGGTTTTACAAAATACACCAAAAACATACAACACCGAAACTCACAATGAGCAAACTCGATTTTGACAAACGACGTATTCTCACTTATCTATAGCTATTTATCTATATTAGAAATAAAAGAAACGGAAAGCGATTCACCTACTCAAACATCTCGACACACAATTTTACGACTGGAAATACATATATTTTCAAAATTTCTACATGAAATTCGAGAAAACCGAACAAATGATCAAATAACACAGAATGTTGAACACGATTCACAAAAAATCTTAGCATGGTTCAAGATGGAATATTTTGGTTACATTATTGATCTTATTGAACAAGCAAGAAAACAGTTTTGACCACAAAACACAGATGATGAAACTGTACTAGCAGAACAATCAAACTATGTATGGGACCCTGAATGGTTTTATGAATTATTTATCAATATACCAACAGATGTATCAAGTCAAGCAATTAGCGCTATTTCTTCAACTAAAGACTATGATAGAGTATATCCACTTACAGTTGACGCAACACCTTTGAACTATAACTCATTATTCTCTGAAAGAGCAGGAAATAACAGTTTAAGCTCCACATTCATAAATAATGATAATTTAAACGGAACAAGAAATCTTACACAACAAGATATACGAACCCCATCACATTTTACAAACAAAGAAATTAACGAAACAATAACAACAAAAGTAGCAAAACGAAGCATTTCACCTATTCAACCAAATTTTACAACTCCAAAATTAAAAAAAACCAACGTTACAACAAACAGTCATACAATCAACAGTAAAACCCTCTGTTGCGCAAAAATAATCAAAAATGAA